TTTTTGCTTAGCTCTATTTCATGATATAGCTATATCATATTTGTTTATCAATCCACAAGTCAAAGAGTATTTAAGTTGTTTCTAGTTTTTGGCCGTTATGAATAAAGCTGCTATGAACATTCACGTATGAGTCTTTGTAAGAACATATGTTCATTTCTTTTGGATAAAAAACTAGAAGTAGAATTGCTGGGTCATTTGAAAAGCATATGTTTAATTTTACAAAAATGAATAAACTGTTTTGCAAAGTAACTTCATTCCTACCATGATGTATAAATGATCCAGTTGCTCTGCGTCACTGCCAAACTTGCCATTCATCAGACTTTTAATTTTAGCCATTCTAGTGGTGTGCAGTAACTCATCGTGATTTGCATTTGCATTTTCCTAATGACTAATAAGGCTGAAGATCTTTTCACGTGTTTATTTGCTACCTGTATATCTGCATCTGCTTTGGTGATGGGTCTCTTCAAATCTTTTGCCCAGTTTTTAACTGGGTTGTCTTTTTGTTACTTAGTTGCAAAAGTTCCTTATATATTCTGAATATAAGTCCTTTTTGCATATAAACATTCATATAACTGTCTCATATGCTATTAATACAACCACACCAATTTTCTTTTGGTTGCTATTTGAGAGTATATATTCTTTCATTATTTTATCTTCAACCTTCTAAGGGTAAGTTCTAATTATATCTCTTATAAGCAGCAAATAGTATTTAAAATAACATTTGACTATCACAATCATTGTGATTACTGATATATTCAGATTTACTCCTAACGCTATAATTTGTGATAATTTACCATGCTAATTATTTTGCTCCTTTTTCTCAATTATTTTTGCCTTTAGTTTTATAAAGTTTTCCATATCCTCTTTTTCTCCTCTACTGTTAAATTTTTCTAATAAACTTTAAGATTATTTGATGTTTCTATCCCTTATCCCAAGAGTGTATCATACTTCACTTAACACATTGCCACATTTAAACAACCATGTTTGCCATTTCTAGAAAATTTTCAGCTCTTATTTTTACAGATATTACTTCTCTTTTCTCTTCCTCTCTTCTCTAGAACTCCTATTAGGTATATACCAGAGTCTTTCTGAAGGGTTCTCTTATAATTTTTGTCTGTGAAATTCTTCAGTACATCAGTTAATTACATTCAGCTACTAAACAGTGGCTTTAAAAAAAAAGAGGAGCCAGTCCAGGGCTAACATAGCAGCTCCATATGCCAGCAAGGACCCAGGCTCCTTCTTCCTCAAATGCTACATTTGACATCTGCTTGCCAACTCACAGTCATCACATGACTGCTCCACCTCGGACACAGAGGGACTGTGCTCCATAAAGGATGAGTAAGGCAAAGGGTCAAGTCATCTCTTTCCAACCTCTAAAGGTCAAGCTCTTTAAAAATCTATCCCATTTTAAAGAGCTTTTCCAAAAGTCCTTCCAAGATACTTCTGTCTATATCTCAGTAGCTACAAGAGGGGTTGAAAGATTTAGCTTTTGATCCCAGGCACACTGCTACCCTGAACAAAATTCTATTAGCAAACAGAATAGACAAAATTACTCTTCATCAATTCTCTCTGTCTAATCTAGAATTTAAACCATGTAAGTTTTAAATTTTAGTAACTATATTTTTATTTCCAATATTCTATTTGGTTCTTTCATAGGCATATATTCCTATTTCTGAATTTGTTTTCCATTTTTGTTCTTCCATTCTCTCCTAGAAAATAAACACATTTATTTTCAAGTTTTTTCAGGATGTTCATTCATTTCCATTTCAATCTGAAGTGAGTTTATCTTCTGATGGTTGAGTTTGTGGAAATTTTCCCTAGTATTAAATTTCTCTGTGGTTTTTTTTTTT